TAGTTTCTTCTTTATTAATTCTCCAATTTTTTAACAGTAAGTATGTTCTGTTTTTACAATTTAAAAAACTATTATCTATTTTTAATAAAAAATGAACCAGTGTTGAGAAAATCAAGTCATCAAGCTATTTCTGCAATTTGATGGCAAAAAGAAAGAAAACGATTGAACCAAAATTTTGTTTTCCCTCTTTCAGCCCAGGTTCTGCCAGAGAATGGAACCACAATTTGAAAGGACAGAGAGTTTGAATGTCATGTTTTGTTTTGTTTTTTTAAAGATTAGAGAAATGGAGGAGGAACTGGTGAAGGCAGAAATCAGAAAAATAAAAGAGGCTTACAAAAAGAAAATCCTTTATATATATATTTCCATTTAAACAGAACTCACAGTAGAGCCAAGGATATCAGGGAGAAATCTTGGAAATAGAAAAAAAAAAAATCTACAAAGAATAATTTTTTTTTTTTTTTTTGCATTTGAAAAACTGTAAGCAGTAGAAAGAACATGAGCACTGGAATCAAAAAGACTTGAGTTTAAAGTTCCTCTGCTCAGCAGCAGTATGACCCTGCGAAAGTTGCTAAACAGAGCCAGGCTCCACAGGTGCAGCACAGGGCAAACTACCACCTAGCTTAGGTAGGAGAATTAGGGGATACGTATGAGTGGTGAAAGAAGTAGCGATGAGTCTAGGTCCCCATCACCAGATTGATTCAATAGGTCTGAGCTTGGACCTCAGTATCTGTATTTTTAAAAAGCTCTATGGTTGATTCTACTGCATGGGCAAGGTAAAGAAACGTGCACAACTCAATACCTGGCACAGAACTTGGTGAGTGTTAGATGGTTGTTTTTAAGTACACAGATAGGCTTCTATCCTTTTTCATTAAGGCTATCATGACTTTTTTCACTAAACACAACAACAAGATCTGTCCTAAATGAGCAGCTCAGATTTTTCGCTGGAGGGAAAGCGGGGGCGAGGTGGGCAGTGACTAAAAGGAACAAAGAAAACAATATGAATTCCCTTTATGGTCTAAAGCAATACCATGGCATTTGAAAATTCAACATGAAGAGACATCAAAGGTCTCTGACATGCGATCATGTATACTTCTCCTGGGGCAAATTTGAAGAATTTCTGCTTCATGACGTGCAGGTCACCAGGCCACTTAGGTGATCTGGGTGCTTATCCACTGATCAGTGTACAAACTTCATTTAGGTTTTGTTGCACTCTATCATGTTCCTTGTAAAATGATCTCAAAAGCTTCTAAACTACAAAAATATTTCTAAAACTGAGGAAATGGAAATTGTCTCAGAAAATATTCTAGCAAATGTCAAAAGTCTACTGTACAACCACATCTTATTTAACATAACGGAAAGGTCTTATCCAATTTCATAGTTTCCAGCAATAAAAGGCTGTATGAAAAGGTCAGAGTGCATGATATATAATGCACCCAATATTTCAATAATTTGTCTTTCTTCCTTGCCTCCTAAAACATGCTGGCTGTTCGAAAGGGTAATTGAAATGCCACCCTGGGAGAGGCTTGCTGACTATTATAAAAGCAATGTGAGCCACAGAGAGGGGTTTCTGTTGGTCACCTTTAGTCCTCCACTGTAGGCCACAGACAGACTGGATTGTTAGCTCTAAGCACTAACCAAAAATCTAAGAAATTAAAATAGTTTAACAATGCTACTGAAGACTACGCTGTCTATGATTGGTATACTGCTTTTATTTCCTAGGTAGCCATCAACTTTCTCAGAGCACATGAGAACTATTGTAGACAAACATCAAGAGTCCCACAAACAGGACTGTTAGACACTAATTATGTAATCTGCATGTTAAGTCAGCAATTCTCTCACTCTGAATACAAACTGAAGAATTTGGTTCAGGGGTGCTGATCCAAATTACCTAGTGGGAATTTAATTTTTATTTTGTGGTTAACCCTGTATTCCCCTGGAGTAATAGTGGAAAGATTACATCCTTCATTCCTTTATATTTAGAATTTAAGCATATGAGCTAAGTATGGATTGAAATATAAACTGCTTTCTTTGAATTCAAAAACAAGTATTTCGAACCTAAAACTCAAACAAATCTATATGATCTCAAGTCTTAATATATGAGCTTAAAGATCAGAAAGCCAGGCTGGGCCCCTTTCTGAGTCTTAGATTCCCATTCTAAAAGGGAACTCTGGACTAGATGACCTCCAAGATCCTCCTCACCTCCGATCACTAATGAAACTTCTCCATTTATTCACTTGAACCCCAAGAAATGAGAGTTGCCCTCAACTCCCCATCTGATGCCTCCTTGGCCTCTGCCTGCTCTGCTCCCCTCCCCCATTATCTCAGGCAGCATCACAACCAGTCGCCTGGTGACTACCATCTCTCCGTGTTCTGGCCATTTAGCTTCTTTTTAAATTCTTTTCCTATTAAACTCTTTCTTAAAGAAACTATTCCAGCTCACTAGTGTTAGAAAGGTGCTTAATGATCTGGAGATTTTGTTAACTAAAATCGTACTATAAATACAAGCAGCAACTAGTTACAGTGGAAAGAACATGAGCTATTCAGTTAGACAAAGTGTATTCCAACAATTTTAATGAGGTTCTTTACCTCAATTTCTGCTTCAGTTTTGCACAATGAGATAAATATTTATAATGGTAACTACCACGTACAGTTGTTGTGAAGATGAATTGATCATGGGCATATAAAACATACAGCATAATGCTAGGTACCTAGTAAATGCTCAGTTAATGTTAGCTGCTATACTATTATAGTTATCCCCATCATATTTTTTATTTTTATTATTATAGTATACAAGTCCCATTCTATGTTTCTAACAAATAAAATCATCTAACTGTTGTTTTCTAACTGAAACAAATGGAATCATCTCTGTTTCTTTTTACTGATATAGGAGGGATGTTGGGGAGACCAGCTGCCACAACTGGCAGGAAAAATTACATATTGTGGTTGCTGACTAGTGCTTGGAGTGAGGACTAATACACATTCACCAAAGTTATAAATCAGTTTGCTACTAAAATATTTTCCAGATTTCAAAACAGAGCTCTATAGATTGTTCTATGATGTCAGAAATACCTTTAAAGAAATCATTAAATACTGTAAAATAGAAAAACATTGTTGAATGAGAAGGGTGAGTCTAAGTTACATGCCACAGTAAATGGTATCAAATTAAAAAAAAAAAAAAAGCATCACTACTTGAATGTCTTCGTGCCTCTCCACCCCACTCCACAGGCATGAAGAACCATATTCTCCATGAACTTCTATGGGTAGATGGGCACTCACTAAGCACATCCAACAGGAATGTCAAGCCCACAAGTCCATGTCATATTAGTTGTAATCACAGAATTTCAAAAGCAAACCAAACTAATATGGATAACATTTTTGGTTTACCATAGCATGTGATTTCGAATTGATTGTGAACCTTTCTTTAAATCATGGGTACTTGGTTATAAATATGCTTCATCTTGGCAGGTTATACTTTTTATCTTAAAGCATATTAAATCCTAAAAGAACAATAGTGATGCCATTTAGGGAAAGAAGAACTTCGTACCTTTTCTTACATAATGGTTCAAGACTTTTCATGTTATGCACAGCAGTTTTATGAAAATGTATCAGTTACCAGATGAAGGTGGTAATTTGTCACAGAGATCACCATTACAGAATATGCTTACTAGAAATCAGAGTGAAGAGCAGAAATGTGCAAAAACAGTTCTTCTGTTAGCTGACTGTGGGCTTTGAATTGTTATAAAATTAACACTTCAGTATGTTTCCAAATAGTTACTTCATATGTGTGTTATTTGTATGTACAAATGTGTATAAATATATAAACTTGCAAATATGCAGAACTATAATTAAAAAGTACAATTGGTTTTCATTTACATCAAAACTTAAGCATTTAAATGGGTGCGACATCATCAACGGAATCACTTTCTGCTCATATATGCCCCCGAATAGACGTAGTTTGAAAGAAGTGTGATATGAGCCACAAATAAGGAAGAAGAAGGTTCTATCCCTGACTCAAGTAACCTGTGAAAATGTACTTACCACACTGGATGCCAGTTCTACTATAAAATAGTAGAGGTAGTGGCACTTCCCTTCCTACCAACCAGTTACTTGGTGGACTGAGTGAAATAATTAAAGTAAAATTATTTTTCAGATTGTTATATTTCTCTATAACTTAAAATAGTAAGAGAATGATATATTCTCAAACCCTAAGAGCTGAACATATGGTTAGTTTAAGTGATAAGATTTTTTTCTTTTTTTTTTTTTTTTTGCTTTTCATGAGTACTAGAGGAATGGATTAAGTGATAAGATACTCTTAAGACACTTTTGGCCGGGTGCAGTGGCTCATGCCTGTAATCCCAGCACTTTGGGAGGCCAAGGCTGGTGGATCACAAGGTCAGGAGATTGACACCATCCTGGTTAACATGGTGAAACCCTGTCTCTACCAAAAATACCAAAAATGAGCTGGGTGTGGTGGCGGGCACCTGTAGTCCCAGCTACTCGGGAGGCTGAGGCAGGGGAATGGCGTGAACCTGGGAGGCGGAGCTTGCAGTGAGCCAAGATAGCACCACTGCACTCCAGTCTGGGCGACAGAGTGAGACTCCATCTCAAAAAAAAAAAAAAGAAAAAGACACTTTTGCCACTTGGAGAAATATCCTAAAATGGAATTATAGCCTAACTCTATACATACATACATATATACACACACACATGCACATATACACATATGCTATATGTGTGTGTATATATATAAAAGTATGTAACATAGAGTTATGTCTGTTCCAAAAAAGGGGAAAGAAGTTTTTACAGAGATCTCTTTTATATCTCTCAAGAATACACGGCAAAACATTTTAGTACATAGGTCAACTTGGAATAAAAACACAGTATCTCATTTCTTGAGATAAAGTATTAAAACATATTTTATAAACTCTAAAGGGCTATATATAAAGCTTAGCAATTTTTGCCACTTTCATTAAAAAGTACATTTTGAAATGGGTGCTTACCTTCTCTTAGATGGTCTACCACGAAAGTAAAGCCTGTAGTTCTTGGATGTAAAACATATTCATATTTCTGAAGTCCATTCTTTTCAGCAAATGCATTACTTCGAGCCTTGCTGTTTTCTAAACAAAACAATGGACCATTATAAATCATAAACTAAAGGGAAATAAATGAGGTAAGGAAAGAAGTACAGAATTTTTTTTGATAAAAATAGCAGTTAGTTATTCTATAATGACTGAATACTGAGTCAAATGAGAAGATACAAACATTGCAGATGATCCGTTATCAAGATCCCAGACCTACTTATGTAACCAGACCCAGGTTTGGCTATTTGCTGCTCGAAAGGCCAAGTTTAGTGGGAGGGAAAGAAGGTTTTAAACAGAGAGTCAGCAAACTGAGAAGACAGGGAACTAGTGTTCTAAAGTCCCATCTTAAGTTTTAAAATTTATCACAGTGTTTTCAAAAGGAAACTTGCTATGGGAAATGTGTGGATGGCACAGGGTCTGTGTGTCTTGTTCTGATGGCTATCTTGGGTAATTGGTCATCCAGAGGTCCACTTGGCATTATTTGACTTCAGCCTGGTGGTAGTGGACTAATCGTTCACAACTCCCCCTAAGTGGAAGGATTCCACAGGGCCTCCATGCCTGGTTTGTTTCAAAATTAGCCTCTGGAATTTCTAAGCAAGCATATAGTAGATAAGCATACATGGTGCAAGGAAGTGTCTAGTGTAAAAAGAAGGAAAACAGAGTTTCAAAGTACATTTCGAGGCTATATTCTAAGACTAAAGAAAAAAAGTGTTAAAATGCATTTCAAAGCTGAGATGCTCGGTTATACTTACCAGAATTAAAAAAAAATTATAAGAAAGGCATAAATAGATTTTTATACATTTTCTGAAATTCATATTCAAATATTTTAATTTCTTTAAAAGATTTCATAAAAGTCCACATTCTATGAAAATTAAAATGCTAATAAACTAAAATTTTTGTAAAACAATCCCTGTATAAGAAAATTGAAATATTAAAATATAAAATGCTAATAAAACAAAACTAAGACACTAACAAAATATAATGACCTAGACATCCAGAAGAAATAACTAGCAATCAAATATATCAGATCAACATTCTTTAAAACCCAATAATTTAAGCCTTCCATGTAAACTGAAATATCTGCCTTGCTCAGGCACAGAGTATGCTAATATTACTAACCCAAACCACTCCATAACGGAATGGGCACATGATTAGCACATCATGTACAAACATCTGAACATGGTTTGGCTGAATATAGTTACGGAGTCAAGTACATGTTCCAGTTGTTGGCAAAACCTTCTTTTTCCATTCCATGAGGTAACTTTACAAGTTCCAAGAAGAACCAAACCCATTATTCAGCAAATACATTTGGAAAAAGTAAAGTGTTCAGAAATTTGGCCTCAACTGCTGGGAGAGATCATGAAATACTTTCTGATGACAGCAGATGTTAGAACCCGCAATCCTCAGCTACATTCCGAAATTTATACACTATTATTCCCAGTTACAAGAAAAATACCTATATTGACACAACTTTACTAGGAGTGAATTTAAGATCACTGAATCTTCAAAGTCTCCAAAAACCATAGATGCCTTCCATTACACTGAAATATTCAAAGAACACTCCTATAGAAGGTGTTACATCATTTCATGATAGAGGAATTGAGCCAGGCAAGTCAAAAGTAAAGCCCCTACACATGAAGAGTAGTAAGTTCCTCTCATATTCATTTGAAGATATCCTGGGCATGGGGCTACAAAACAATACTTATATTATAGACAGCTGACAGGACCTTAAACGGGATTTGGAATCCCAGAGACACCACAAAGATGAGTAGTAACTACCCTTTAGTTTGGTCTTTCAGTTTATAAAACTCTGGGGATTCTGAAAGCAAAACTGAACTGTTGTAGAATGTGAGTACAAGTATAAACAGCTCTAAAACAAATAGTCACAATGTGGGAAGGTAAAAATGATCAGAAATACAGAGAGATTAGAGATGCAGACTTTTCCATCTACCCCCTAGTTCATCTATCCATCCCCAGACTCCGTTATTGCTAGTAAGTGCACTAGCATCCCACTTTCTGACCACAGCCTGTCTTGTCACGTTTCTCCCTATAACTATCCCACTCCTGCACTCCTTCCACCCATGGGACTACTAGCAGCTGCTCTCAAACCAGCTGGGCACGTTCCCACCTCAGGATCCGTGCAGTTGCTGCTCCTCCCTTCACCCAGAATGCCTTTCGCCCATACAGCTGCATGGTTTTCTGCTTTGTTCATTTAGTCCCTACCTAAATAGAAACTTAATAGAGAGGCTTTCCCTAACCATCCTGAATAAAACAGCACCCTACACTCCCTCTATGACTCTCTATCTCCTTATCCTGCCTTATTTTTCTGCATAGCACTTAGGACTTACATATTTTTATTAACTTATTAGTTTATCACCTGTCTTTCCTCATAGAACGTAAAGTTCATGATAGTAGGGATAAAGATCCAGGCACTCATATACGCATTAAAAAGAATAAGTTGTATGTATATAGTAGGTGTTAAGTTATATGCAATAATATAATTGTTAGAATCTTTCCAAATCAGGGAAATGGAACTCAAAATCATCATATACTAATTGTGATGACTAATTTTATATGTCAACTTGAATAGGCCATGATACTCAGGTATCTCGTCAAATATTATTCTAGATGTTTCTGGGAAGGTGTTTTTTAGAAGAGACTAATATTTAAATTAGTAGACTGAGTACAGCAGATGACCCTCCACAATGGGAGTGGGCCCCATCAAATCAGGTGAATGAAGGTCTTAACAGAAAAAGACAGAGGTGCCCTCCTCTCCTCAACAAGGAAGAAAGAATTCTGCCTCTAGACTGCCTTTGGCCTTGAATTTCAACTGCTTCCTGGGATCTCCACTCTGCTGCCCTACCCTATAGATCATGGACTTACCAAGCTTCCACAACTGTAAGAGCCAATTCCTTAAAACAAATCTCAACCTCTTTCTATATATACACATCCTACTGGTTCTCCTTCTCTAGAGAACCCTAACTAATATGCCAATACAATATAGAACTCCCTAACCCAAGAATAAAGAATAAATACGGATGGGTGCACATATGTCTGCATGTGACCAAATGATTCAAAAGAAATGGACCAACGTTAAAATAGTGTTCACTTATGGGCAGTGGGATTACAGCAAGTTTTGTGCACACTTCTATGTTTCCAAATTTTCCCTAATTAACATATATTGCTTCCATTAAAAAGTTATAACCAACAATAAAATATGAAGATAGAATATATGTAAAGTTAGATTTAAATGCACTAATTTAAATGTACATGCCAGCTAGATTCAGAACTTAAATTATAAAACAGTCTGACTGGGCTGAAAAACCCAGTTTAAGGTTAGTATGGTAGTAACTAAACTAACCTTTTAATTAACAGATACTTTTTCCAAACTGGAGATATTTTGTTAGCCTATTTTTAAAAATGATTTTTTTTTACCAGCTCAATACAATTATCTGTATTATACTGTTAAAAAAACATTTAAAAGTTTCAGGATCAGTCTGTTTTTTCTCCTTGGCAAAGTCTAGCTTTAAAGGTAAATATCATTTGCATTTAAAATATATATGCAACTACATCATGTAATGGTGAGCACTCTGGACTCCAAAATTATGCAACTAGATGTAGAGTTCATCACCTATAAAAGGAAACCTGAGAACAAATATAGAATGAAAAAAGTTTTACATATACATTTTATGACTCTGAAGGTCTAATGTATGAACATAATAACACTAATGTAGCAGTAACATATGACCTTTCTTTCATTAGTTTTTGTTTACCAAATAACTTTCAAAGTTGACATTCTTTGGTATATATTTTCGCATTCACAAATATAAATCTATCATTTCAGTAAATTGCTTTCTATACTCAAATAAAGCTGATATTTCAATATCGAAATTTAGGTATTATACATTCTAAATATTATAAAATTTAAATATGGCCACCTATCCCTTATAATTTCCTAATGATAATTTAGTTCTGGAAATCAACTTACAACTTACAAGAATATATTTTCAAGCTTCCACAAGCAGCCATTATTATCCTCAGTATTATCCTCTGTGATACAACCACTTTTAGAATCTCAACTGTAAAAATTCAAATATATACTACACAGTTGGCATATATTTTAGAGATCTGACTAGTATATAAAAAGTGCCACCGTTCATTTAGCTCAGTTCCATCTGCAATAGATGTGTCAAAGATCTCTTAATTGCTACCTACAGTAAATCCTAAAATACCTTAATTTCCCTTAACAATCTATTATGGCTCAGTCACCTATTCACTTGCTTAAATATGTATGTAATGTCTGTTTTTCATCTTGAACTCTCTTTTGTAATGAGTTCTATAAATTATTATGTCCACAGTGTGAACAGTATGTTCATTTACCTGTTCTCCTCTCTTAAATTCTAAGGGTTGCCCTTCTTAGTCTATTACCAAAAATTTGAAAGTTCAGTTCATGTTCTACCTCTCCATACTACTTGAGATTTTAGATTTCAGTTCTCTCCTGCTTCAGCCTGTCTTCCCTTATACAGCAGAGCTGTAAGATCCACTGAATCCTTCTCAAATTCTGCTGTATTTTTCTTGAAGTTATCGGGACTATTAAAAGCAAATTTTGGTCTTTTGAGTCCAAAGATTCTACAGAAGTACTTTCTGTCTAAGCTATGCCCCCACCGCCACTCCTCCCAGTATCAATCAGAGCAGTTCTGCTTTTATCTGTCTTATCATCTAACATCCTTGATAGACGGCTTCATCTGCAAAAATAATCCATGGTTTAAAAAGTGTGAAAACTATTGATTTAGTAAGGATGACAGACTGTTGAGTATTTTGTTTATAGTTTTTGTAAGACTTTCTTGAAATCCATTGGCAATTCCTAGCCTATACGGTTTAAAATCTGGTAGCCAGGTGTGGTGGTAGTATCTGGTGTAGGCCCAAATACTATAGGCTTGAGCCCAGGAGTTCAAGGCTGCAGTGAACCATGATCATGCCACTGCACTCTAGCCGAGGTGACAGGCTCAAAGAAGAAGAAAAAAAAAGTTTAATATTTAGGAAGGCAGAAAAGTTATAAACATGTCTTCCTGTGTCCTCGCTACAACTCAATGATGGCTGAGTTTTCTTGAAGAAGGGCAAAGCTATTCCTGCTTGTACCAAGGATAGGGCTTAAACATCAGGAGACAGGTAACCTGTTAATGTACATCAACAATAACTGAAATTAGTTACTATCAGATCTTTTTCTTATGAGGAAGAAGCTGAGGAGTAGGAAGGGTTTAATGGATAAATACCTTAGAAGAGGATAAGAGAATATAAACAACAGGTAGGGGAGGATAAACATTATCTAAAACATGATTTTAAAACTACGCTTACATAAGGATAAAAGCCTGATATTTTAAAATATATTCTGAAGCTTAAAATATAAAGTTCAAAGATGGCAAGTATGAATAATATGACCTCTTGGAGTTGCCTACTATAAATTAAATGGGCTAGAAACCAAGAGTTCTGAGTCCTAACATGCTATTGATTAACTGAGTGACCTTAGGGATGAGCCATTAATTTTTTTGTTTTGATTTGTTTTGTTTTGAGATGAAGTCTCGCTATGTAGCTCAGGCTGGTCTCAAACTCCTGGACTCAATCCATCTTCCAGTCTCAGCCTCCTGAGTAGCTAGGATTCCAGGCATGGACCACCACACCTGGAAGAGCCCTTATTCTTATTGGTGTTCGGTTACTACTTCTGAGAAATGAGAAGTTTAGACTACATGATTTCTAACTGTGCCAAACCCAGGCTACCTTACCTGTGAGATCAGTCCCTTCTGGGAATATGAGGAGTTGAAGTGGTTCGTGAATATCACAAAAGTAATCAATCATGTCTTCAAAATGGCTCTTGTCATCCTTCCATTTCCTATGAATGAAGATATAGGCAGCAGCCTGCATGGCCCAACCTAGAATCAATTTAACAAGTATTTACCTATAATTTTATTGCCAATATCCACATATTATTGAATACAATATTTCAGTTTTCTGGTTTTACTATAAATTATTTATTATCATAAATGCTTCATGATATACCATAAATTCAGCACTGATCTTGGCTTAAATAACTAACATATATATATGAGAAGATCCTAAAAGACATTTGGTAATCATGAGGTTTGCAAAATTCTCAAAACTATCTTTTCAAGCGAAAACTAGCTATTAAAATATTAAGGAAAGAATTTTTCCTTAGTATTTATCACTAACTTATCCAAAATTTTAACAATCCTAGCTAAACAGATATTTTAACCAAGATACCTACAGGAGATAAAAGAATATGTGCTGACAGCTTACAGAGCAGTAAGCAAAAGACTGTTGTCAAGTGTATAAGCATTCTCTTTAATATTTCCCTTCTGATACTACTCAAGTCTCTAAATCCAACTGCTATTTTCAATGTTAGCCACTTTCTATTGCATTGAAAAGAAAAGGGAAATTGTGTAATGGTACTAAACACACTAATCAGAGTGTACACTGTGACTACATTCCTTTTCTCTAGGGCAAATCACTCTTGCTCTTTGAAGAGGGAGTCCTAGATGTGCCATGTTTAGATGACCAGCCATCTCCCCCTGGCCACAATGACCAGAATTACTACGGTAGATACCTAACTGAGGCAGCCAATCCAATAGTCTGTCCAATAGCCCACAAAGCATGAAGAGCTTGGGCAAACACAGTAAATACCTAGGCCAACTAAATGTTCCCCTTCAGAAATTTCACCGAGGACCACAGAGAAAACAGACAAGTTGGTAGCACACAGTCAAATGGACAGACCAAAGAGCAGAGGGGCTGAGGCAGGATAAAAACAGCATACAAGAGGCCACGTGCAGCGGCTCATGCCTGTAATCCCAGCACTTTGGGAGGCCGAGGCAGGCAGATCACCTGAGGTCAGGAGTTCAAGACCAGCCTGGCCAACATGGTGAAACCCTATCTCTACTAAAAATACAAAAAATTAGCCAGGTGTGGTGGCAGGTGCCTGTAATCCCAACTACTCAGGAGGCTGAGGCAGGAGAATCACTTGAACCCGGGAGGCAGAGATTGCAGTGAGCTGAGATTGCACCATTGCACTCTAGCCTGGGCAACAAGAGTGAAACTCCATCTCAAAAAGAATAAATAAAAGCATGCAAGAGTGAAGGGCAAAAGCTCCAGATGAGCCAAGCCCCCTAAAGCTGACTATGATTCATAACAAAAGACAGTTTTAATCTCCGCAAGTCCTGGCCAGTCTACAGATCCACCTCTTGGATACCCCTGAGAATCCACCTCTCTTCCTGCTATGCAGGAATAGAGGAATAATAAACTCTCATTATTTCAGCTGGTGGTTCCTTGCAAGCAAAGAACGCAAGTAAGACAACAGCTATCATCATTTGGTAAATACAGCAGTACCCTGAGAATACATAAAAATAATGTATTTAACAGTGATTACATACACACATAGCCGGGCATGGTGGCTCATGCCTGTAATCCCAGCACTTTGAGAGGCCGAGGCGATGGATCACCTGAGAGACCAGCCTGGCCAACATGGTGAAACCCCATCTCTACAAAAATACAAAAATTAGCCAGGCATGGTGGTGGCTGCCTGGAATTCCAGCTACTCGGGAGGCTGAGTGGGGAGAACTGCTTGAACCTGGGAGGCAGAGGTTGCAGTGAGCTGAGATCGCACCATTGCACTCCAGCCACACAACAACGTCGTTGGGCAATGGAGCAAGACTCCACGTCAAAATAAAAAATACACACACACACACACACACACACACACACACCATGCTTTATTTGGTTTGGGTAAGTCCAAACTAGAATACTGTATTTTACATATATAAATAAGCATGTATTAAAAAGTTCACTTCAGTGTATAGGTCTTGCTGATAAGCATTCAGTTACTAGTCACTATAATGTCAGTCTCATCTACCAATATTGGACATGACCCCACACTGCCTGCTCCCACACATCTGTCCTTCATTGAGGACACTTAGGCCCACAGAGCAGTGTGTGTAAGCAGTACAGCTCTGGAGTTAAACCACCACAAGCCAGCTGTTCACCCTTCAGACCCAAATATAAAATGAGCACAATGCAACACTATTTACCTGAGGGGGACTGATGTGAGAAACAAATAAGATTATTTAGCACAGAGTGTTCAACAGGTAGGCACTATTGTTATAATCAACAAGTTACAATAATATCAAGAATATAGCACCAGGGATTGTAAAATGTAACAAAAGAGTTCCTATTCACAACAGCAAAACCAAAATGTGCAGAAATAAACCTAATTACTTGCAAGAGTCACATGAAAACAATTACTTAACTAGAAAGAGATGGAGAGAGTACACAATGTTTTTGAACTCAACCAGTGATGCCAATGATCTCCAGTGAAAATTTCAATAGCATGAGGGTGTGTGAGAATTTGGCTATTTGACAAAGCCAAAAACTAAATAAAGCTACAGATTTTCTATAATAATAAAAAGGTGAGAATATTCAAGATAACTTTGCAATAGAATAATAAGCAGGAAAGACATGAACCATTAAACAAGCGTATTATGAAGCAACAATGATTAAATCAAAAGTACACCTGCAAAAATAGGTGAATGGAAAAGAATGCAAGACTTAGATAAAAGTCCTTGAATATGTTAAGGATTTGGTACATAATAATGACAGAATTTCAGATGAGTGGGTAATGACTGAGTTGGTGTTTTTTAAACATTTTTATAGAGGTATAACTTACAGTGAAGTGTTCAAACAGTAAGTATATATAGGTATAGAGCTTAATAAATTGTCACATATACATATATGCCTGGCTGTCACCCAGTTAAGATACTGAACATTTCTAAAATCCTCAGATGCTCCCATGTGTCCCCTTCCCAGTCAAACCTTCCCCTCCCAAAAGAAAACCACTACTCCAACTTCTAACACCATAAATCATATAAGTAGAATCACACAGTATATATTCTTATGTATTTTGCTTCTTATGCTCAATAATTTTGTCGATGAGATTCATCTATGTTGTTGTGTGGCAGTATTTTCTTCCTTGCAATGCCAGTATTGATATAATTGCTGGTGTCAATTATATAAATATGCCACTGTAGACCAATATACAGTTTATGCTTTTTATGAAGATTCCTTGTCTATTAGGAATAAAGCTAATACAGATAATCTTGTACCTGTCTTTTGTTGAACATGAGCACCCAATTATGTTGAGTAGATAACCAGCAGTGAAACTACTGCCTCATAGGGTTTGTGTCTGTTCAGCTTCAGTAGATAGCACCAGTTCTTCAAAGTGATTATACCAATTGACACTCCCACCGGAAATGTTCCAACTGCTCTATCTATATTTTCCCCAACACTTAATCTTAGGAGTTCTTCTCATTTTAGCCATTAGAATTCATGTGTAGTAGTTCTGATTCACATTTCCTGTATAATAATGCTGAACACCGTTTTTTGTTTGTTTGTTTTTTTTTTTTGGAGACGGAGTCTCGCTCTGTCGCCCAGGCTGGAGTGCAGTGGTGTGATCTTGGCTAACTGCAACCTCCGTCTCCTGGGTTCAAGCAATTCTCCTGCCCCAGCCTCCCGAGTAGCTGGGACTACAGGCACCCGCCACCATGCCCGGCTAATTTTTGTATTTTTAGTACAGACGGGGTTTTGCCATGTTGGCCAGGCTAGTTTCAAACTCCTGACCTCAGGTGATCCAACTCCTGGCCTCAGGTGATCCAGCCACCTTGGCCTCCCTAAGTGCTGGGATTACAGGCGTGAGCCACCACGCCTGGCCAACTGAGCACCTTTTCATATTCAAATTAGTAATTCAGATTTCTTCATTGTAAAGTACCTCTTCCAAACCTTTTTTTTTTTTTTTTAATTGATTTGTCTGTCTTTTTCTTAGTTTTTGGGATATGAAGTCCATCAGCTATAAACACAGACACACACACACACACATACAGAATATAAACATGTAATCTTCTCCATGTACTTGGTGTTTTCTGTGTCCTGCTTAAGGAATCTTTGCCTATCCCAAACTCATTAGGACATTATTCATGTGTTCTTCTATTAGCTTTACTGTTTTAACTTTCACTAGTTTATGCATGATCCATTTCAAATGAATTTTTGTGGATTATGTGAAGCAGAGGTTAAAACTCTTTGTTTTCTGAATGGACATTCAATTGACCAGTGGCAATTATTTAAAAGGCCAAGAGATTATTAATTTAAATAAAACATTTTAAAAGCATTATAAAAGAAATACATATACTGTAAAAAAAAAAAAAAAGTCAAATAATACAAATGTAAGTAGACTAAAACATAAAAATACTCCTTTATCACTACTTCCCTCAATTGTACTCTACCAGTCATAATCTCTTATTTGTAATCATGATTAAAAATCTGATGTGGGCAGGGCACAGTGGCTCACGCCTGTAATCCCAGCACTTTTGGGAGGCCAAGGCGGGTGGATCACCTGAGGTCAGGAGTTCGAGACCAGCCTGGCCAACATGGTAAAACCCTGTTTCTACTAAAAATATAAAAATTAGCCAGACGTGATAGTGCACGCCTGTAATCCCAGTTTCTCGGGAGGCTGAGGCAGGAGAATTGCTTGAACCTGGGAGGCAGAGGTTACAGTGAGGCGAGATTGTGCCATGGCACTCCAGCCTGGGT